CTTGATTGGTATATACGGAAGTTTGATTATAGCAGTTACATTGATTAAATGTGACGTAAAATCATTTTTTTTGCTTTTCTTGATTGGAATATACGGAAGTTTGATTATAGCAGTTACATTGATTGAATGTGACGTAAAATCATTTTTTTGCTTTTCTTGATTCTTATATACGGAAGTTTGATTATAGCATTCACATTGATTGAATGTGACGTAAAATCATTTTTTGTGCTTTTCTTGATTGTTATATACGGAAGTTTGATTAAAGCAGTTACATTGATTAAATGTGACGTAAAATCATTTTTTTTGCTTTTCTTGATTGGTATATACGGAAGTTTGATTATAGCAGTTACATTGATTAAATGTGACGTAAAATCATTTTTTTTGCTTTTCTTGATTGGTTTATACGGAAGTTTGATTATAGCAGTTACATTGATTAAATGTGACGTAAAATCATTTTTTATGCTTTTCTTGATTGGTATATACGGAAGTTTGATTATAGCAGTTACATTGATTAAATGTGACGTAAAATCATTTTTTTTGCTTTTCTTGATTGTTATATACGGAAGTTTGATTATAGCAGTTACAATGATTAAATGTGACGTAAAATCATTTTTTGTGCTTTTCTTGATTGTTATATACGGAAGTTTGATTATAACAGTTACATTGATTAAATGTGACATAAAATCATTTTTTCTGCTTTTCTTGATTGTTATATACGGAAGTTTGATTATAACAGTTACATTGATTAAATGTGACATAAAATCATTTTTTTTGCTTTTCTTGATTGTTATATACGGAAGTTTGATTATAACAGTTACATTGATTAAATGTGACGTAAAGTCATTTTTTGTGCTTTTCTTGATTGTTATATACGGAAGTTTGATTATAACAGTTACATTGATTAAATGTGACGTAAAGTCATTTTTTCTGCTTTTCTTGATTGTTATATACGGAAGTTTGATTATAACAGTTACATTGATTAAATGTGACATAAAATCATTTTTTTTGCTTTTCTTGATTGTTATATACGGTAGTTTTATTATAGCATTTAGATTGATTAAATGTGACGTAAAATCATTTTTTTTGCTTTTCTTGATTGTTATATACGGAAGTTTGATTATAGCATTTGCATTGATTAAATGTGACGTAAAATCATTTTTTATTTTTGCTTTGGCTTGATTGTTACGGAAGTTTGATTATAGCAGTAACATTGATTAAATGTGACGTAAAATCGTTTTTTTTGCTTTTCTTGATTGTTATATACGGAAGTTTGACTATAGCAGTAACATTGATTAAATGTGACGTAAAATCGTTTTTTTTGCTTTTCTTGATTGTTATATACGGAAGTGTGATTATAGCATTTACATTGATTAAATGTGACGTAAAATCATTTTTTTGCATTTCTTGATTGTTATACACAGAAGTTTGATTATAGCATTCACATTGATTAAATGTGACGTAAAATCATTTTTTTTGCTTTTCTTGATTGTTATACACGGAAGTTTGAGTATAGCACTCACATTGATTAAATATGACGTAAAATCATTTTTTGTGCATTTGTAATTTGTTATATACGGAAGTTTGATTATAGCAGTAACATTGCTTAAATGTGACGTAAAATATTTTTTTTTGCTTTTCTTGATTGTTATATACGGAAGTTTGATTATAGCAGTTACATTGATTAAATGTGACGTAAAATCATTTTTTTTGCTTTTCTTGATTGGTATATACGGAAGTTTGATTATAGCAGTTACATTGATTAAATGTGACGTAAAATCATTTTTTGTGCATTTGTTGATTGTTATATACGGAAGTTTGATTATAGCATTTACATTGATTAAATGTGACGTAAAATCATTTTTTTTGCTTTTCTTGATTGTTATATACGGAAGTTTGATTATAGCATTTACATTGATTAAATGTGACGTAAAATCATTTTTTGTGCTTTTCTTGATTGTATATACGGAAGTTTGATTATAGCATTTACATTGATTGAATGTGACGTAAAATCATTTTTTTTGCTTTTCTTGATTGTTATATACCGAAGTTTGATTATAGCATTTACATTGATTAAATGTGACGTAAAATCATTTTTTTGTGCTTTTCTTGATTGTTATATACGGAAGTTTGAATTATAGCATTTACATTGATTGAATGTGACGTAAAATCATTTTTTTTGCTTTTCTTGATTGTTATATACGAAGTTTGATTATAGCATTTACATTGATTAAATGTGACGTAAAATCATTTTTTTTGCTTTTCTTGATTGTTATTTACGGAAGTTTAACTATAGCAGTAACATTGATTAAATGTGACGTAAAATCATTTTTTGTTTGCTTTTCTTGATTGGTATATACGGAAGTTTGATTATAGCAGTAACATTGATTAAATGTGACGTAAAATCATTTTTTTTTGCTTTTCTTGATTGGTATATACGGAAGTTTGATTATAGCAGTAACATTGATTGAATGTGACGTAAAATCATTTTTTTTGGTTTGTTATATACGGAAGTTTGACTATAGCAGTACATTGATTAAATGTGACGTAAAATTATTTTTTTGCATTTCGGAAGTTTGATTATAGCATTACATTGATTAAATGTGACGTAAAATCATTTTTTTTGCTTTTCTTGATTGTTATATACGGAAGTTTGATTATAGCAGTACATTGATTAAATGTGACGTAAAATCATTTTTTGTGCTTTTCTTGATTGTTATATACGGAAGTTTGATTATAGCAGTTACATTGATTAAATGTGACGTAAAATCATTTTGTTTGCTTTTCTTGATTGGTATATACGGAAGTTTGATTAAAGCAGTAACATTGATTAAATGAGACGTAAAATCGTTTTTTTTGCTTTTCTTGATTGGTATCTACGGAAGTTTGATTATAGCAGTTACATTGATTAAATGTGACGTAAAATCGTTTTTTTTGCTTTTCTTGATTTTATACACGGAAGTTTGATAATAGCATTCACATTGATTAAGTATGACGTAAAATCATTTTTTGTGCATTTGTTGATTGTTATATACGGAAGTTTGATTATAGCATTCAAATTGATTAAATGTGACGTAAAATCTTTTTTTTTGCTTTTCTTGATTGGTATATACGGAAGTTTGATTATAGCATTTACATTGATTAAATGTGACGTACAATCATTTTTTTTGCATTTGTTGATTGTTATATACGGAAGTTTGATTATAGCATTCACATTGATTAAATGTGACGTAAAATCATTTTTTTTGATTTTCTTGATTGGTATATACGGAAGTTTGACTAGAGCAGTAACATTGATTAAATGTGACGTAAAATCATTTTTTTTTGCTTTTCTTGACTGGTATATACGGAAGTTTGACTATAGGAGTAACATTGATTAAATGTGATGTAAAATCATTTTTTTTTGCTTTTCTTGATTGGTATATACGGAAGTTTGAATATAGCATTTACATTGATTAAATGTTACGTAAAATCATTTTTTTTGCATTTGTTGATTAGTATATACGGAAGTTTGATTATAGCATTCACATTGATTAAATGTTTCGAAAAATCATTTTTTTTGCTTTTCTTGATTGGTATATACGGAAGTTTGACTATAGCAGTAACATTGATTAAATGTGACGTAAAATCATTTTTTTTTGCTTTTCTTGATTGGTATATACGGAAGTTTGAATATAGCATTTACATTGATTAAATGTGACGTAAAATCATTTTTTTTGCATTTGTTGATTGGTATACACAGAAGTTTGATTATAGCAGTAACATTGATTAAATGTGACGTAAATCATTTTGTTTACTTGTCTTGATTGGTATAAACGGAAGTTTGATTATGGCAGTAACATTGATTAAATGTGACATAAAATCATTTTTTTTTTGCTTTTTTTGATTGGTATATACTGGAGTTTTTTTATAGCCGTTGTATCTATTTTTGTTCAATAAGCTCTTTTTGCTACAGGCTCACAACCGAGTTTCTTATTTTGTGTACGAAAACAATAGCATCAATCTATCGAAACTATGTTACACTTCCCTGGGGTTAGAGAGTACTCATACATTTTAGGGTTTGGGTTTTCAGGTTACTTTTTATGTATATAGAAGTTGTGTAAAAGTAATTTTCTTGTTAGTTTTCTGCAAAATTCTTCTTTTGGGTTGATGGAATTTTCATTTTTTGAGTAAGGAGAGAAATGTTACAAAATGTCTTTTGCAGGTTGAGGAAAGAATATTTTTTGGCAAATTTCAATGTCTGAAATGATTTGTTTGGTTGAATAGTGGCCAGAATCGTCCCATCTTTGGGACACCAGCCTGAACAGCCCCGTCCTTTGTATATATTAGTATTTTCTTGACATTAAAAGGGAGTTATAGAGAGGGGAGTAGCCAGAATTCAATGGTCCTGTCAAATTGAGAAATGACAACAACACTGGTCTAAATGCCTTAAAATTGCCTTAAAAACTGGCAACGGAAGCTAGGCAGACCTAACAATTCAAGTGCTTTGCTCTCAATAAATCAATTAGCAAAAACTAGAAATTGAATTACATAAAAAAGAAAGTTTTTCTTTGCCCAACATATTTTTTCATGTGGCATCTCCATCTTTCAATATTTACTGTAAGGCCTTGTTCATAATTTATTATCTTCAAAAACAGCAATAAACTGTGAACAATTTTTTTCAGAAACACAAAATTTCAGGGTGCCGAGAGACTTAAGATGTTCCATTAAACCCATTCTGCACATATGACTAATAATACTGGGAAAAGTTTGGTAGATAAAACAATCAGTTTTATGAAATTGTATTCTAATATACTATACTATACTTATATACTATACTAATATACTTAACCAATATACTTTACTTATCAATGCTAATTAAATTACATTCAAATTCTTTTTAAAACTATATAAATAGCAGTTGAGAAGAAAAGAACTAGTCCAAAAAATATAAGTAGTGTATCTGTTAATTCTCTTCTACTGTATTTATTTATCAACTTTTTGCTCATTTGTATCACACCTGCCATCCCCTTTAGCTCTTCTTGTGTTTCTTGCAATTGATTTGAGGATTCTTCAAGCACCTTTGTACTTTCAATGTTATGTTCAACTTGGCTGTTCATCATTTCTGCAATCTTTAATAAGTTTGCTGTGATGTTTGATGAAACTTTTGCTGCTTTTTCCTGACTCTTTTTCCTTCTATGAATATTTGAATTCTCAGAGACTTCTTTGTTTTCATTAGAAAAGAGTTCATTTCTATGACTAGAGGACAGTTTTTCTTCAGCTATCAGATATGCTTTACGAAGGCTTACTTGCAAATTCATCTGAGCTTTCTTGTGCTTTGAGATAGCTTCTTCAATACAAGTTGCTATTCTGCCAGTATCCTCAACTTCTAGCATTTCAGAAAGATGCTAGAAGGAAAAACAGTATTGTTGAAATTGTATTAAATCTAGTGCTATCCTTGTCTAAAGGAAAAGTATAAACTGGGTGAGCAAAGTATTGCAAAGGATGAACAGATGAGTATTATAGGGTACCGTGTTTTAAATGCTCTGGTCATCAAACTTTGGACCCTTTTTTTATGCTATGGCACCATTCCAATGTTATGGTCATCAAAACATTGGCAACCATTGTAAATTAAAAATTGAAAAAAATTATGACATGTTTATTTCATTACCATTCTTGTAAAATAGCACAAAATGCTCTCTGCCATTTGGCCCATTGCAGCACCAAAAATTTATGACAAATGTCCCACATTTTTGCAGAACATAGAGCAATAGATACAATCTTTTGTTATGATGGCCAAAAGCTCCCCTGGCCCTCCCCCTTTCAACCTGCGTCGGAGCCCATGTTGATAATAATAATATGCAGCTACTAAATCATGTTACAGCTTTACGCTAACTTGTTATGGCTATTTGAGTTTACGTTAGCAAAACATTTTGAACTTGAAAATCATTCATTTGAAACCAATCACCAGGAATTATTTTACTGATTAAGAGGGAGCTAAAAGGTTTTAGGGGGTTAAACGTTCTGAAAGAAATAGCAGGGCGTACTTTTAATGGATTTAATTCCTTTTTGGAAATTACTGAGGGGTGGGAGGCTTATTCGCTTGATTTTGAATTCCTAACCTCGAGTTCCAATTTTATTGCCTGCATTGCCTTTCGCGCATCGTTCCGTAAATTTGTAATATCCAATCTACTTCCTTCACACTTCTTGATTTTTTGAACAATCACTGTTAAATTTGACTCATTTTCAGTGATTTTTTGAACGATTAATTTTCCTTTCAGAGGGAGATTTTGAAATTCCAGATCCGCCATTTTCATAATTTGTTTAGGTGTCCCTGCCTCATTATCAGGATTCGAATACGAGGCAAAAATAGGGCGGACTTTGTTGAACACAAAAGAATAATATTATCACGTTGATTTTGTTGTTTTCACCAGAAACAGATATTAAATACAAATGAATAATTGATTAGTAATCATGATATTAGATTGTACAGATTTCAGGCTAGAAGGATCTTGATCAAGGTTACAAAAAAACAAAAATGAACCGCATGCAGATAGTCTTTTCTCAAATCACAAGGAACAGATTTAACCATTCGGCATTAAAAGATTTCTCGTCCCTAACATCAAAGTTCAAACACTACCTGCCTATCAGCCAGAAATTAGGATCGTACTGTGCAGGTGAGCTATTTCTTTATCATTCAGGGAAAAAAGAACAACTGGTGTTGAAAAGTATCGCAGTCTTGTTGGAAATGACTGGTTGAATTGAATGTTTATTTTATAATAATTTAGCTAATGATATATATGACAGCCTATATGAGTGCCCATCCCCCTGAGCGAAATATTTCTTTGTTTCAGTCCAGTATTTGAAATGACTCTAGGAGCTTGGCTCAATTTGCGATATAATAAAAGGCTTTTATTTTATTTTAACAGCCAAGCTGTGAATTCACTTCATTTGCTTTTGTAATTATTGTAGAATCATCAGCTACTTACTCTATTGATAAATAACAGTACTAAATAATAATAAATAACAGTACTTGTGTGAAAACCAGCTTTAATGTATGGCATAATTTCAAGTCAACTGTTTCCTATTTCCTCGCAAAACATTTTGTAAAGACTCTTTTATAATTTTTTTGAAGTGACAGCTGACTGTTAGAATGATGAATAGATAGCTTATATCTCTTTATTCGTCTTTGAATGTAACAAATATAATGAAATAAATATACCAAGACTTTGTCATTTACTGATGGTAAGCCAACAATATGCCCGTAACTGTGCCTTTGCATATTTGTGACTGCTGTAAATAAACGTGTTAATTTTTGCCCCAGCAGTTGTCAGTTTAATAAAAATACACCATGCAAAAGAGGATAGCAATAAGAAGAGGTTTTATGGTACCAGAAGTAACAAACCATTGTCATCAAAACACACAGCCAATCAATTTGTTCGTTGGCTGCTGCCAGAAGAAAGAAGTACATTATTTGCTGCTCTTCAAGATTTCCAAGCTGAGGAAGGCACCATAGACTTGCTTGATGGTAATTTATCTTTGATCTAAGTAGCCTGATGTTGGACAGATCAAGCGATGTGCTTAACAAAACCTGTTAATATTATTTTCAGAACATTTTAACTAGAGATCTACCTCAAAAGTATTTCTGGCCTGATTTGGTGGATGGTTTGTCATTGAGCAGTGTGTTGAACATGGTGACAATAATTGATAAGGATCCTAATAAAAGTCAGTTATAAACCTAAATGCTTGGGACCATTCTTTTATTGCTGACAAAACAATTACCAAGTCATGTCATATAGCAAATTCGTTCTGCTACTGCTGCCTTTCAGTAAAATTAAAAGCAAATTAAGATATGCATATATCAACTCTCCTTCTTCAGTTTTCATTATCCACTGTTAACCTAACTGCAATATCTCATCTTTACAGGAACAGATCCAGAACCTACGCTTCAACAATTAAAATTAGGTAATTGTTTAATATCAAAATTGCTTTTTGCCAAAAGCTTTATACTTTTGTCATGTGTTTTATGTGTTTTCAAAAGGCTCATCTTTTATCCAAATAGGTTGTTTTTGAATTTTTTTTAGCTGGAATTTGTTTTCCTCAGTGCAATGTTATATGTAGAAGTATTTACAAGACCTTGAAGGAATTTTTCTCATAAAAGACCTACTCAAGATATTAATGATAATATTAGATCATTGCATTTAGTCACAGAATAAGAAATTTAGTGTTTATCATTCCTCCAGACAATATCCTTAAGTTGTGCAAACTCCTCGTAGCGAAGCAATGAAAGCAAAGCAGAGATGCGTTTTTTGTTTCTTTTGTTCCCATTGACTGCCACCTTTCTGGCTCTACAATTCTGGCACATCACGATTCTGTAGTTTCCCTGTTCGTTGCACCATTTGATGCTAATGGTTTATTAACCTGATCCTAAATTATGCTAATAAAGTACACTAAAGAGCCTTTTGAATCATGATATTAAGCATTTCAATAGCACTTTTGATACTCCAATCTTTCTGTCTAGTTATGGGATGCAATGCTATTCCATTCGTTGGGTTTGGTATGCTGGACAATGGAATCATGATTCTAGCTGTAAGAACTTTGCTACAGTAACAAACAATTTGCTATTAAATGTTTTTTTAACAATTTTTTTCACTTATTCTGCAGGGCAATAATAAAGGCATGCCAAATCGTTGAACTTGTTAAATTAAACATATTTTAGGGTGATCTAAATTCTGAAATTTTAATTCCTGGAAGCATGTAGACATATGATCTACCTCTAGCTTTAAACAATTGATTGGCTACACAAATTATGCATTTAAATTTTATCTATTGTTAGGCATACGTGGGCAGCCTGTATCCGACGATCCAAATCCCCTTTAATTTCTTGTGGTCTTTTGATCTGCATGAAACTGGACACAAATATAAGCCAACTCTGAGATAACGCAGGCTAATGAACACCTGCAAAATTCTTGATGTCCACAGGGGTTAAAATGTAAATAAGCTATTAATTGATTCTTATTTCCTGCTCTTACTTTTCTATTTTTATACCTGCAAGTGTGACTTATTTTCTACAGTTTTATTGACCTTGCATTTGTAACTACCATGATAGAAAAATTCAGACTTTGCAGGAAATTAGCAATTTTACCTCTACATTTAAAAGTTGATTTTCTTATTATATTTTGTCTTAAAGACGATCATTTTTAAAGAAGCAAAAAAGTTTTATGCAAATGTTTAATGCTCTTATAACAATGTGTCATAAATCTATAATGAATTCGAATTTTTAGGGTGAATACATTGACCATACAGTTGGTGTTACATTAGGAATTTCAACAATGGCTGGTATTTATACACTTATGTCATTAGTATTTGTATTTCGCCTGCGGGTCATTTTGATATGTTATGGGTATGCCCTAACAAGATTTGAGGAGGCTGACTGCAATTAGAATCTTCGCACAATAAGTCTGAAATAAGTTTCTTTATGTTTTGGAAAGGTTACTGTGGAAAACTTTCTTTTTTTGGTGGTTCTTAATTTCGCCATACAGTGGCAGAATACGTTCCATGTTTTCAGTAGGCAAAATATTTCGAAGTTTATTTGTTTGCAATTGCTTTAAAGCAACATTAAGGAATCGACAAGATGAAAAAAGCTTCCGAAAATTTGTTACGAGCTCGTCAATATTCACAGAAGGCTGGTTATTAGAGGGCAGGGTTTAATTCACAATAATGCTTGGTAATACAAACCACTAAGGGAGAGGTGCATAAAATTGAGAAATGCACAATAGTCAAATATTACCTCAATGCGTTCTAATTTTTAGCTGGATGTCGATTAAGTTGGAAGTATGAATAAGAAGCAGGGGGTCTTGAAAAGTCCTGAAAAAATAAACGGAGAGTGCCTCGTTCATTCCCGACCTCAGAGTAAATGCACAACCTGTTTAAGTTGTTGCAATTTGATTGATATGTTGCAGAGAAGAAGCCGAATGTACTGTTTTGGTTTGTTTTTGGCATAGAGAAAGATACTGCTTTTGGCTTGGTTCATGTCTGATGGGGCTGTTTAATTGTTTTCATAGAGATTGTATATTCCAATCCAAAAATTCTAAGAACAGATACTCTTTGCCCTCGTTTCATCAAAAAGGACCTGGTTCACATTGGACCTAAACTACCCATGCCTTTAGCATGTGGATTTGATCTCGATCTGCCCTGTTGTTATTGCAATTGGCTCGAACCCTGTTATATAGCTGGATTCGTTTGGATCAAAGGCTTGGCAAGCAGTTCTCTAATTTTTCTGTTTATCTTTTTCAGCTGCCGCAGTCGGAAATTTGATTTCAGACCTGATGGGTTTAGGGTGAGTTTTCATTTTTAAACTTCTAAAGATCCTAATCTTTGAAACAAACTGCATATTTAATGTGGACGTAGTTGGGTTCTTCAAAACAGCGTGTCATTAAGTTATGCAATTCAACATTTTGTACAATTTATTTTTACGTACTCATTTAAATCTTACATTGACGAGATACCGATATAAATTATTTTAACTACTTTACTTCACTACAAGGACGAAACCCCGGGAACAAGGGATAATGGCTACCCCGGGGCCATTACATAATGTATGACTGAAATAAAATTAACTAGATATTGATTTTAACATGTTTTACAGAACTAAACACATTTAGGTTTAGTTTATATATTAATATAGTTTCATATAACTAGAAAACAATTAACAAGACAAAGAGAAGTAAAATAAGGACTTTGTGACTAATAATTTGTGTCAATTCGAGAATAATTTTGTCAATCTCACAAGGAAGGTCTTTATCACAATGCAATAGAAGTCGTCCTAAAAGTTTATTTGAATAAAAATGAAACAGCCTGAAGTTTCGTTAAACTGTCAAGCAGATTCTCATATTGTCATTCCTCTCGAAATTTTACAAAGATAAGGCTCTCAACCTTAACATGGGTCTCTTATCAGATTCCACGAACAGAGCGAAGATTGTCTTTAATATGTCTTCAATAATTTCAGGTTTATATGATTGCTGGAACGATTAAAGTATCTGATAAAAAAATCTCTGATTATTCCAGCTTGACAAGGTTATTGGGCAGGTTATAAAAATATCTGATGAAATTAGCTTAATCATTTAATTATTGATTAATTTCAGTTTAAGCGCCTCTAAAATGGAAGGAAGGGAACTACATTGCAGCTACTCTCAGATCAATTTCTCATTCACTTATTTTTAAGATAGACCCCCTAACTAATTATACCCTAATCCTTATTGTAGACCCCAAATATAAATCATAACAAATTTATGTCATGCCACCCAGTAATTTGGCGCTGAGGACCAGAGATTCTGAGAACTTTCATCAAGTGCTAACCAATATTTCTGAACTTTTATAAAAAACGTACTATCATGTAGCAAGCATATACCAAATTGAGTAGCTGTTGGCTGTTCAGGACTCCAAAATTTGCATAGCTAACACGAACTGTAACAGTGTGTATGATTTCGACTGAAATCAGAATGAATTTCGTAAGTAAAAAGAATAGGTACAAGAAAGTATTCTTGTGGTACCGTTTACTGTATCTAATAACATGGGTCAAGTACAATCGATGATTCGTCAATTAGCTTGATAGCAAATGGTTTATTCAACTTTCAAGTTACAGTTTAACTGAGAAGCTCTCGTCAAATCGATTGCTAAATCTAACAACATCGCAACAACACCGATATAGTAGGTTTCCGAGTTCATCAAATGTCAAAGAATGGTGTTTAGTGAATACACTGTAAACAAGTTTTTTATATATGAAGCATATCGTCTTATCAAGCGGTAAAAAGCTTGTTTATGAAACTTACATGAAGTATTTATATCATAACTATTAAAACAAACAATTTTCATATCCCATGCTGCCATGAAACAAACATTTTTTGAAAAGAGGTCGCAACGATGAACAATAAAATCGAATAAATGTTACTGAGATATAGTCTCAGGAAATAAATCAATGGCTGTTGCCACCGGCAATGGCTGTCGAGATCAGTGACCACGTGGAAGTTCCCATGTCCTGTGATTGGCTAGCTAATTATTTTAAAACGAGGCTCCAATTTATTCTATACTTGTCAGCAGATGTCACGACCATCTCGCGCTGAGTTTGGCTTTGCACTGTCATTGAGGTGAGTTTAAGCAGCACAAAGGTGACCTTGTCAACAAATAATTAGATGCAAGCTGAACCCCAGCTACTCGAAAATGCGTTTTTTAAACAGATTGCTTGGTAAATAATTGATCCCGAGTCACCAGGAGAAAGAACCTCTCGAGAGATAAAACGTAAAAAGGATCATAATTTATCTTTAACTTTGTTTTTGTTGCTTTTATGCATGATTGCCAAACTTTTTACGCTATAAAATAATTTACTTTACAAGATTTTTTTTACCAGCGTCTTGAATTCTAGTGATGTCACCTTAGTTTAAGTAAAGCTATTTACAAATATGCTCCATGGAGCTTTGTTTTCAATCTGTTTTGCGTTTGTTATGGGAAGTTAACTATTCTTTTAGCCCTCTATTCCCGAAAGGCTACTGCGTTTGTTTTCAATAAGGTTTTCCTCGTGGTAGAAGATTCTGGCACGTTTGGTCTTTCAAAGATATGCTAATTGCTAATTTATGATATGCTAATTTCGAAGATATGCTGCGTCTAATAATGGCAAATTGTCTTTTCTCGGCTGAGCTTGACATTTTGACAAAGTTTCCATTTAGTCTAGGAATAATTGATCGAACACTTTTTTCAGCGTCATTGCGACTTTTCTTCTCCATGATTTTTGGGCCCAAAAGTAAATCATTTCTTCTATAAGGCTTTTGAAAAATGGCAGCTTTGATGCTATTTTCACGAATATTTTCAACGCCCGGTGATTCTTTGGCGATACCAGCGCTATATATGGTACCAGCGTAAACGTCATATTTATGAGCAAAATAATCAGCAATATTCTGGCAAGTCGTCGTTCAGCTAAATGCTTCGGCATTATCACAGGAATTGTGTGTACAGCTGATGCCCTTGCTCCTTTTCGCAAACACATTATGGTCTTTACTTGTCGATAAGTTGTGAGCAATAAAGCTGCTGTTAGTATTGGTACAACGTATAATCGGACAGGTAGAAAAACTGGAATAACCGCCATTGCTGGAGATATGGTCCAGGTCGCCATTACTGCGACCTTCCACATGTTCACGCGCCTCAAGCTTAAGAGCGACTGGTTTTGCGAAACTCGTTTATATATGTATGTAGACAGCAGCATCACAGACATGCATGATACAAAATGTGTCATTGATGCGGAGAAGGTTAGCGTGATCTGGTGAATACACAGGGGAAGCCAACTGCTGCTAGCAAACGCCAGCATTGGGAGGACTATTACTCCCGCTAACAGATGTGAACCAAACATTGAAAGCTTCAGGCACCTGTTGGTATGGCCGCACGAGGTTTCATCTAGCAGACATATTATCGCAATTAAGCTAAGCATCGTCGTAAGCAGGGCAGTTAAAAGCCAAATAAAAACCCAAGTGGTTCCCTGACCACTTGCTTCTTTCAGCATGTAGTGAAACGGACAGCTTTCAATGTTGTCTCCTTGTACTGTATTATTCATTATGGTATAGCATTCATCCAGTCTGCATGTACGAACAAGTCATTTTTTGCTTTCTTGTCTTATCTTATCAGCCTTGTGCCTGCTGTCTGCAACTCTTGAAAGAACTTTCCTTCTGAGTTTTTTTCTCAGGGGTCTTAAAAAGTCGTTTGCTTTATTGCAAATCTGCCCGTCTTTCAATCTCTCCGTCGAGCTCTGTTTTTGGTACTCTGATGACGTCCTGATTGTTGTCAATGTTTCTCCTTGATCGGATCCAGCCACCAAGTTTAATTTTGTCGTGTTTTTATGCCAGGTATCTGAAAATGGACTGTAAAAATTAAATAATAAGTAGGCTATAAAGAGGGAACTGTGAAAATTAAATAATAATCTCAAAGTCTCGGTAAAATTCGCTTTCTGTTGGACTAAGGGAAGTTCGAAAATCCCACTCTTCCTGTCTTTTGTGAACATCATATAATTAGGTTATTTATTCTATATTAAATTTATGGATTTTTTTGAACTAATTCAGACATGAAGCTAATAATAAAATCACAGGAAAAGTTTCGAAATCAATAAAGAGAAGCAGTTTGTCATTTTGAAAAATTATCTGGCAGTTAGTTTCTGACCTAGTCCACAAAGAAGGTTTTCCGTAATTGCATTCAATATCACATCTTTATCAACGATGATCAGCAACTGCATCAAACAATTTCAACGTGTGAGCGACTATGCTCTGCTCTATCTACAAAGAATGAGTACCTTATGTGAAGATGTGGTGGAATGCAACAAGGCTATTCACTTGGTACCATGCTTTTTAATAGCGCCTTTTTGGAATCTGTTTTGTGGGCGAAGCCTTTCTAATGGATTCTCATTCTCACACAAGAGATAATGTCTCTTGGTTCGATTTGTTGACTTTAAGTTTAACAGTTAATATTTGTCTGCCTTTTTGATTCTCTAATACTATTATTGGCGACCTCCTTATTATCTCAAGTTATTTGATTTATACAGCAATTCAAAATTCTCGATAATTGTTGATTACTACATGCTCTTTAATGATTATGACGTAGAGGTGCTGTTTCTTCTGTTCGCATGATCATATGTTGGTCTTACCTGCAAGTTTTCGCATCTTTTCATTCTCATTCGTAAATGAATTTCTCATTAAAGATATCTTCATTGCTTTTCTCACCTTTAATTTTCAATCTCAAAAAAGATTTTCATTAGTAATCCGATCCTGTAACCATTGCATCAGAAAGGCCCTTTGTAGTGATATTCGTTGGAACCCTAAGCAACCGTTATTCCTTTCTAATAAATATCACGTTTTTGCATACCTCATCCTAGCAATGATATGAATTTCAAATATGTTTGTTGTTCTGATGGAGTTTATCGAAATCTTCAAAATCAAAACGACAAAGAAATATCTGCAGATTTCGTGAGATTCAAATAGTTTTTTGTAGCGAATTAGAATGAATAAATATCCCTTCATCATTTGCCTTCTGATATAATCAACGTTATTTCTCGAATTGGAAGATGTTTTTTAATATGGTGAATTGAAAGATGATTTTCAAGACTACCCATTAGTGTATGGCAAAAATCCCTTACGACTGTTATTCTTTACTTGACAGAACTTAAATGAGCCCTGACAAAATTTTTCCTAAATTTTAAGCCAAGAACACATTACAGCTCCATGGATGTAAGTCCGAAGAAGGCTAGCAAACGGTGTAGTTGCCTTGAGAAAGATCGTATAATCGACAATTCATAACAAACAGTTG